GTTACCGAGGCCTCCCCACAGCATGGGAACTGCCCCCACGCAGCCGTCCGAGATAAAGCATCACCTGGGACGGCTGCAGCGTGGTTCTCACCCAACCCTTTCACTTGGCATTGTGGCTGATGCGGCAGCAGCCATCAGACAACAGCCCCCGCACCTTAACCGGCGCTAATTAGCCCAGAGTAACCTCTCCGACCCAGGGCAGCTTCTTCAGCCCTGCTAAACTGATCGCTTGCCAGCATCCGACTATATTCTCAGTCCAGAATGTTCATGACTAATCCCCGATTACCTTTCAATAGGCTTTACGAGATTAAATACATCTGCAAACCTATAAACCCCTGCTCACCTCTCCAGCAGCTCTCCCAGTCCCACGATGTCGCCTCTGTGCAGGTGCCACACAGCTTCCAGCACTGGAGGGTCCTAACGAGATGTCACAATTAGCTCACAGTCTGCATTTTGCAATTAACATTAACATTGGCTGACATAAACTAGATCTAAAAAATAAATTATGTTTATTCAAACTATCCAGAACTCATTCAAATTTTAGAACGACAACATAGGAAACACCAGATGAGGAGAGATTATATTTGATTTTTCGTTCCTACAAGTTTTGCATGGCTCAGGGTCGTTGCTGCATCACCATTTTACATTTCATGGCAAAATAAACACATCCCTCTTTGTCCTTCTGGAATAACACTGATGCTGCCTGTTCTAAGGAGCAGTGGATGTCCCAGAAAACAGGTAATGCCACTAAATTTCACATCTTGTTTATTCAGATCCAGAAACAGATTAGAGAATTATTGCTTAGCCTGTTAATTGTTTATTAGTCTCTGAAGCAAGTTTGCTGCTCTCAAATCCATCTCCCAAGAGGAGACTACAGGAGACACTGCAGCTGTATGGGCAGAGAGGCTGCTGGACACAGAGGAAAGCCCAACGCTGCTCGGGCAGCTCCTAAACTCCCGGCTTGCCATCAGCATCGCTTCCGTGCGGATGGAACTGCCGCCCATTGGGCCTCCCTGCTGCCCTCCTGGAGGGTGTCCTGTGCCAGGAAAACAGGGCTCCAGGGTGCACCGGGCAGAGAAAATGGTGCAGCAGCAGCAGCTTCTGCTCATTCCAGCCTCCATACAGAAATGCTCCAAGCAAGAAACAAAACCCTCACGCCTTGTGAAGGAAGAGGCACCCGGGAGTCCCGGGCACACAAGCCATTCAGGAGAAGAACCCCACGAGATTTCTGCAGCGAACAGCAGCTCCCTGGTAGCGTGACCCTAAACTCACCCATATACTTTAACTTCGGCAACCTAATTCTTTACAGTAACAATCTCAATTACACAGCAGCACTTGATCTCCATGTCTGCCTGAGAACAAGCAGATCTTAATCAGCCTACAAAACACAGGGATACTATTTTCAGCCCAGGGTCTGACATTTGAGACTAGAGCATGCCTCTTTATCCTGGCAGATCTGCCTCTTCCTTCTTTCCCACCAGAGCAGCGAGCAATCAAAACTGCCCCACTCACAGAGAGTCCTTCACTCCCCTTAGACATCATTTATCTTAAGAAGATAAACCACCCAAATGAAATCAAGACAACACGTTTGTGAGGCAATGCAGCCTTTTATCTGCTAAAATCTATCTGTTTCTCTCAAGCCATTTTCTGCATGAACCCACTCAGGCTTATCACCATTCCCAGATAAATAGAGCAGAGAACCAGAACACCAAAGATGCCCTAAATATCGCTGGCAAAGCACTTCTGGGACCCCACAGCCAGCCGGGAGCTCCAGCGCTGCCCAGGTAATCCCTCTGGATTGCTCAGCCCAGGCAGCAAACCCACATGCCAGCTGATGGAGAGTTACGAGCGTATTTCATTGAGAACAGCGAGGTGGTGAAGCCAAACAGGAAAGAAAACAATGCCCCCAAAACTTCTATTAACTGCAGCATTGCCTCAGACGAGTTTAATCGCATCACCGTGCTGCAGCTCCAGGCTCTGTACTGCTGTGCCCTTCCTAGCTGGTTCCCAGGGAGGGCTGGCGGCGCGCAGTACAAACGGAGAATCAGACAATGAGACGCAAGAGTGCCGCTTGCCTCACTCCTCAAAACCAAGGCTTGGTCACCAAGGCACTGTCAACCCTCCATTGTGGCAGTTTCTCAGAAGCAGCCATGCAATTTTAATAACTCACCCACCCAAACCTCTGTTAAGTCCTCTTTGAAAAAGCAAATCCCGCTACTGAGGCAAGGAAGCTCCCAGTGAACTTGCTTTAAAATAAAAAAAAAGGAACAAAACCTCCACCATTTAAAATTAAGTTCATGCTTTTGAAAGGTCAGAAGGACCACAGTCATTCTCAGGAGGAGTTCATGGCTGCAGTCAACCAGAGCAGGGCAGAACAGTGGCAAGACCGCTCCAGGTCACCAAAAAAACCACCGAGGGAAACGGAACGGAAACCACAGCACTTCACTAGTGCACTGAACAGCAATCCCCGGCCCTCACGGGGAAGGAGGGGTGAAAACACACTACCACATCCCACAGGTGAAGTCCAAATGGTCTGTAACGCAGCGACGTTTCTCCGTGAGTCCTTACCTTCATTTTCCACATATCTTGACAGAAGAGCGAGCGACAGAACACATTGTGCGCCAGCAAATCCTTCACCGTTTGGAGCAAACAAGACAACCTCTTCTGGAATCACCCAGAAACGAAGCAGAAATAATTGCCTTTGTAAATAACACATTCTTAGAAAAACAGTTTGTTGCTTTTCCCTGTTTACTGCTTTTTAAAGGCTTGAATGGTAAAGAAAATTCACAGGAGAGACCTGAACTTTTCATCTGAAGGCTGAACCAAAGGCAGCCAGGCTGGCAGCAGTGACGCCCAACAGCTCCTCAGAGCGGGCTCGAGCCAGCAGCCACGGCACAGCTTTTGTACGATGGCCATCGCCACGCCTGGCTACACCACAAATGATCGATAAAGATGGAAACACGGATTAAAGAGACCAAGCCTGAGGTACACCAGAGGTGATGACACAGGATTCACTTAGAGAGACCTGTGCAACGCTGCGCTTCAGCGACAGACAGAAAACTTTATTTCCAAGCTGTCAAAAACAGCCGCTTTCCTGAGTAGAAGAATGCCGTAATTCTGTGAGCATATCGGATGCATAAATGAATAATCGGCCACGGAGGTCCTATGTGTTTGGGTGACTTCCTCAGAACAGATAAACTGGGTTTAAAGTCAAACCTAACATTACTGTTTTCTTGATAAACCAGATGTCAACCTTTTCCCTTACTCTTTGGTCCGGGCTCAGCAGTGGGACTTGGGTGGGGTTTGCAGAAACCTGGCAGATCCGCTCGATGTTGGTAACAGCATTTTTGGCTGCCAAGATTGCTGTGGGTACACCCAGTCTTGAGGCCTGTTCCTGCAGAACAGAGACTTAAAAAAAAAAAAAAAAGGCAGAAAGCTGACAACAAGGGAGAAGAAAGGGTTTGAACACAGGACTATGAAGAGACAAGTCCCAAGTCTTAAACCCCTTCCAGCACAGATGTCATTTGTTGCAAATCATTTTTATTTCCATGCATCGTCCCTTTACTGTACTAAAACAGGAGCAGAACAACCAGGGGCAGCAGTGGAATATCCTTGCTAAGCAGATTTTTGTATTTTAGTCTTGTGGAGCTCACAGTAACACTTTCAAATAATCAAAAATATTTAAGAATCAGACCTTGCCAGTGGTGTCATCACCAGACAAGTAAGAAATTAGCAGACAAATGGGAGACCAGAACAAGGACAAGAAAGTGAAAATGGGATTGCATTTAACAGGCAGAAATTCAGTACATAAAGAAAAGTTCTTTCTCTCAATTGTCTCCAGTAGATACTCTTTCACTCACCTATAAACGATTCTGACGATACTTCCTGGTGCTCTGCACCATCCTGTCCAGCTGGCTTGACTGAATCTTCCACCTGGAAGCCAAACAAAACCATCACACTCTTAGATGTCTATTACACACCTTTACAAGCCTCCTTCCTCTAAAGCACACTGAGCAGCCCTGGCATCCTTGGGGCTGGAGCAACTGAAGTGAAATTAACACCAAGCTCCCACACAGTCACGGTAAACCAGAGATTTCAGGACACATTACAAGAGACATATGCATAGTTACAATAAAACATAGAGGAATAAAGGAAAAAGAATCTCATCTCTGCAACACAGTACTCTAAATTTCAGCTTACTCCCACAGTGCTGGTTTTTCTTTTCACTTATGAAAAAAAACATGTTCCTGGGACGTTCATTCCACAGTTGCCCTAGGAAGGACCCTGGTGGAACCCAGCTCCAGCTGGGATCTCCCGTGATCCACCGCCTGACCCCTACATCCCAAACCGCTCACTCCTACCTCCAGGAGGAGGTCATTCAGGTTCTGATGGTGATCCAGAAGGCGAAGAACCGCTTCCTGGAGCTCTGCTCTGTTCCCAAAGGCACCTTTTCGTTTCCTGGCTCTCCCTGCTGAGAAGTTTGGATTTATTTTACAACCACAGCTCACTGTGACAGCCCCCCTGAGGACACCTCCCTCTCTCTGCTGCAAAGAGAGGGCAAAGGCAGTCCCAGCCAGACCCTCGTTAGCCGGCAGCATGGCAGGAGCAGTGCAGAATGGTTTTGTATTATTTGCTCCACGCAGCTCCACAGACGAAGCCCCGTGGCCTTCAGCACAAGCTGCCCAGAGCAGCCAAAGCCCTGTCAGGCGCTGCCAGCCATCAGCCTCAGCCCAATGCTACCACAGCGCTGCCCTACACCCCCAACCCGGGTCAGGAGCCAGTGCCCCAGGAAGGCCAGCAGCCTTCAGGAGAGAATTTCTGAGTGGAGCAGGGGCAGCGGGTCTGAGGAGAGACTGAGAAGCTGAGGTGAGGGGCTGAGGCGAGGGGCTGCAGGAGCCCAGAGCACGGCACAGGCCAGGCGGGGGGTGTATGAGGGCACAGAGGGGACCTTCACTCCTCCCTTCCCCTCCGCTGTCCCTGCAGGAAGCG